AGCAATTCAGGTGGGGACTCAGACTAAGTACTACATTGATTATAATTACTCTACCAAGTTTGAGGTATGTATATTCAGTATCCGCTGGGAATTGTTGCCGGTCCATTCTGGGTTCTAGTGGCCCTAATCTGCCCACTAGAGTGTGCACATGGTGTCCGGCTTTGCCGACAGATGTTCAGTTTCAGACAGGTGACTTATGTCACGAGATCAGTATCAGATTATTCAGACCGGTTTCAGATATCAGTTTCAGTTTAGTTCAGTTAGATATGCCAGGATCATGATATTGTTATTATTTTCACTGTTTTACTTTAGTATGAGTTTCCACGGAGCACAGTGTCATAGTGCTCAGGCCCCATTTATTTCATGTTTTTCAGGTCACAGGGTCGGGGACGAGGAGTGAGCCGACGCGCTGTTCAGGACATTTGTTTTGTTATGTATAAACTATGTTTTTGCCACGCTATAATTACGCTAGAACTTCCAGTACTTAAACTCAGTTTTTGATTCGACATTAGTCGGTTAACACTTTATATAACCGTTTTAGTTATCAGTTTAAAATTAACGGTTTTTCAGTCAGATTTTCACGGTAGCACCCCGAATCAGCTTTCGCAAAATAAATATTTTATTAAATTATTCAAAAAATTTGCGAAAAATGCGTACTCTGATATTATTAAAATAGCGGGGTGTTACAAAGTACGTATATAAAAATATGAATGATGACATATTAGGTTATTTGTGTTATAAAATATGTTATCTATTGAGCATATATTGCCTTCAAAAAAAAAAAAATAATTATACATGATCTTGGATGAGATGCATATATGTGGGTGAAATTTGGTCATTATTGAACTATTATATGTTCGTTTAAAAATTATGGACTAAAGGATGGATTAAATAATCTGCAAGATTATAGTTTCACTAACATGATTTGAAAAGTTTGAAAAGTATTTCTGTCTCATGTTTTTAGTGCTATAAAAATTCATGGAATATTATAAGTATGTCTATTGTATATGAAAGGACGATTATATACAAAAAGTGGTGGAAATATTGGATATATATTATTGATGCTATGTAGCTCAATTTATGATCATCTTTACAATATGGTTGGATGAGAAGATAGAATTGTACAATTATGAAAATGATGAAGTATTATTTAACGTATATCTATCTATCCAAATGTATAAGGTTCAATTGAATACTAGTAGTCCCAGAAGGACACTAATATTAAACATTGATGGATAAAATGATTAAAATAATGCATCAGTTGTCTATAACATGTCAACCAATATTTCATTTATCGATAGCTTGTAAGTTGACGATGAAGTTTTTAGACACTCTCTGAAGGATCTTCTATAAGTCAACAATTATGTTTTTATATACTCCTTGAAGGATCAACACTGACTTAAGTATCTCCCATAAATTCATAGTGAAGTTTTGGTATACTCCCTGAAGGATCAACACCAATACAAGTATCAAAGTATTACACTATGAGTAAGTATTAATGACTAATTTTGAATTAAGATGCTATCGAAATTTTTTTATAATGTGTTATGAACATTTTGTATTCCCGAAGTAATACATGAGATTGAGAATAATGAAATCCAACCAAATGAATACTCATGGACACAATATATTAAGAGTAGTGATGTAAAAGTAGTTCATTGAGATTGTATTAGTGCCGGAAGCACATGTACAAAAGTATAATTTGTCACATGAAATATATGATAGAAAATTATCTTTTCTATAAGACTATATGTTTCCTTGATTTAACTGTCATTATTTGTATATGAGCATCTCTTGTTTGATATTTATCCTATTATCCTCCACGTTACTTGTTAAGATTTGAAAGTGGGAACACACGTAAGATATGTCTAGCATACATTATCCTCAAGATAAGAATTTTTTTATGATGAATGAGAAAAAATATTATATAACTTACGTAATGATATCTCGCAAACTTCACCTGTTATACTCCTGAAGAGTTGTAAAATAAAAATGCACACATATATTATTATTTTGTCCATGAATCTGAATTCGCATAAAGGATATGTGGATTAATTTTAACATGTGACTTGTGTATGTTGTTTGGATCATATATGGTGAAACTATCAAAATGCAATTACGACATGAATTTAGTTTGAAAATTATAGTTGCATATTTTGTTCCGTTGTTTTATGCATTGAGTATGGACTTTATCCAAATTTATTGAGCCTAACTCTATTTGAATATCTTGAACTTTAGTCTAATTGACTAATGAACCAAATGAATGGTATGCAACTTGTATAGTTATTTTTTTTTAAAATTTTGTCATGAATTACAGAGCAAATATCCTGTTGAATTTTATACCAACCTAGATTTGGTCATCCCAGAAGGATTTTTCCTGTTGACTAGTATTATAATTGCATATTATCTAGCAAGTATCTTTGAATAATTGGTGTAGTAGATAATCTCGTTGATTTTTGGATAAATTCATGATCTTTTGATTTTAGATAAGCTCTGCATATTCGGGTAATTTATATATTTATTAATAAAAAAATAATAAGTGGACAAAAAACAAAAAGAAAAAGGGGGAGTGGACCAAAATAAAAAACACGTATTCACTAAATACGTTTTCTTTACAATTTCACTGTAAAACGTATTCAAGGAATACGTTTTTCACATTTTTTTTACAAAAGAAAACGTATTCACGGAATACATTTTACAATTAAAAATTGCAGAAAACATATTCAGTGAATACGTGCTTTTCATTTCTTTCCACTCCCACTTTTTCCTATATTTTTTTGTCTGCAAGTTAAGTTTTGATTTTTTTTTGGTAAAAAAATCCTGCATATTCAATATACTCTTAATGACATTATGTAACCAGAATGTTACCGAGATTGAACTATATTGTTGATAGCTACAATAATAAATTTATATGTAGTGCCCGAAACACATACTATTATTGATAGCTACAATACTAGGCTCACAACCAAAGTTCAATTATAGTGCCTGAAGCATATAGTGTTCAATTATAAATGGATTATTATACTTCGATGCCCAACTTATTTATTTAATAATTAGCATGAGCAGTTTGTTCATATTGGGCAATTAATTGTGATAATTTTTCACCAAAGGTGCATGGAGTATCGAACATTTCCCATCTGCGATTTATTATTATTTTATTATGCACTATTTTATACCACCACCAATTCGTACCTTTTTGGGCCTATATTACAAACTAGGCATGCTATGAATTTTATACTCCGTCGAACTTTTAATACCTAGAGGTCATCATAAGAGATCAGTTTATTATTGGGTACGTTTTTTTGCATAATATATGAAGATGATTTCACGGCATTAGGGGGAGATATGAGCATAAGTTTATTAATGTCGTGAAAAATGTGAAATATTAATGTTTCATAATTTGAAACCACGCAATAGAAATTGAACTTGAAGTTCATATTATATTTCTGCCAAGCGACATTTATAGTAAAAATGGAGTGACCAATTTGTAAATATATAGATGTACCACAAAGTAAGCAAATTTCCTAGGGAACGATTGACTCCTTAATGCTTGAAGCATAAGGTGATATAATTAATATGACGTATGAAAGTCCGTGGAAAATGTATATTCAAGAATTAACACTCCATTATAAGTAACTCCTGAAGAGTTGATCCAGTACAGCTTGCACGTGCATCAAACCATTATAGTACTGGAAATGCAGAACAACCAAAATTAAATGTTACGGGAAATGATTATAAATATGGCTAGCAAATGGTTGAGATAAAATATAAATTGAATATAATAGTTGTCGACAACATACTTGCCTATGTGATTTCTTTACTATCTCAAATAATGATCCGGATAAAAAATAATAAAAGTGCTAGCATCACTTAGGTTGATTGAGATAAAAAGAAAAATTGAGGCAGAGCTTTCACTAGCTACAAGATATATTCCAGAAAGATAACATGTCCCAGAAGGATAATGAATATTTATATGAAACATGTGATGTGGTGGTGTGATGTAAATATAGCGAGATTATGCTCATGGGTTTATGCAGAGACCCAAATATTTATTTAGATAAGTTCTCTCATTATCAATGATTCCGCAAGTTAATATTTATGGCAGCAATATTACCATGACTATTGAGTCATATGTGAAAGTCCTGGATGGACTCGAATACCCGAGATGAAAGATAATGAAATAATAAATAGTTTAATTATTTAAAATGTTGGTAAGATGTGGTACAACCAACTAAATTCTTCCTGAAGAAGTAAAGTAAGTAATTCAAGGTAGAACCTTGTGTATAATGATAATCTCGGTCAAATAGATTATGTGGTGAACACTATATAAAAGATTAAATAAGTTAGCTCATGCTTATAGACGGAGTAAGAATGAAACTTTTGGTTACATACCAAAGAGTATTATCTCGACTTGTAGATCGAGCATCTCCTAGAATAAATATTTTTGACCCAACCAATCTACTTGAATCTCTTTTAGAGATGTAAAATTGTAACATTAATGAGTGTCAAATATTTGGAAGTTGATAAAGATCCAAAGAAACAAATGAGGATATTATAGGACCTGAAGTTCCAATGGACTTGAAGTTCACAAACGACCTGAAGTTTATTTACTAAGCGTAATTGTGCAGAACTTTTATCACGCAAACTGCATCAGGCTTTATACTGCATTTGTGATGAATTTGCTAGCAAGATTTACTAAATCTCTCCTTAGAGAGATATCGTGATAAATATTGAGAATATCCCATTATTCTTCATGTATGTTGAGTTATCTTTGGACTTGATATATGATATTGGTGGATAAGGACATCAATTGTATAATTGATCCCCGAAGTATGGGTCCTCAATTGGTTATATACCTCTCAAATGGTATTAACTCTTTACCATTAGTTATTGAAATTTCCCCATATTTATCCTGAAGATAACTTAGTTTGTGTTACACAAATAAGTTATATAAATACATTTGATGATATTTTTGAATCTATATCAACTCCAGAAGAGCAATAAATGACGATTTTATGTTAGAAACTCTTACCTTTAGGGGGAGCAACATACAATTATGTAT